ATTTATCCTGGGGCTCCGACCGATCAACATATCCCCTTGTAGCCTGCAAACAGAAGGTGAAGATGTATAAATTAAATGCGCAGATGAAAGAAAAGGGAAAAGAAAACCCAACACTCGACTACTCACAGTGTTTAATTCGGTATCATTGAAGTTTCCATTCTCTGAAATGGAACCTCTTGGAGAGGATCCTTCTTCAGAACCTTCTGGTACTGGAGATGGTGGCTGAGCTGGAGGAGAATAAACGACTTTCAATTTGCATTCCTCAACCACATGCCCAGCCTCCTTGTTGAACTGCAAACCCCACGCCCATAAACAAAAGTAAGGTGCTAAAATTAACTACAAACTTCGAACATTCACAGTATAAATACCATTTCTGCATTGATATCCTTTGCGGTTGCGCCATCGAAGGTTTTAACACTCTGAAGGAGGAACTTGTCTTTGCATTGCATATCAGCAGGAGCTTCTTTCTGGGCTTGCATGGTGACTACAAAACAAAGTACTACCCATTTCAATAACCACAAAACTCATCTGAAAACTAAAATCAAAGAAGGAAAATATTTGATATTGGCATTTGGCACCTATAACATCGCATGTTGACCCTGGCGAGACAACTCCAGTGTTGGGGCGAACGCAGTACTTTTTAGGGTTCGTAGTTTTCACCTAGAAAGAGATAAACTTCATACTAAGTCGACAAAGTAATCATACGAGCTTTAATCTTCGCTCAATTTGCCAATAAAAAATGAATTATAAACACCAAAACACCCGCAAGCAAATTGAAAAATGACGAAATTAACTAGTTTCAGGGCGTGATCTGGCACCAGACAGATACATCAAGAAAAAAAAGCAAAAGAAACAACAACAACAACAAAAAAGTGCACACGCCTAAATTCAAAATCCAAAACACTTCCATACTACAAGCACCAAACCATTTCACTCGAAAAAAGATCAATTACACAAATCACAAAAATAGAATCAAAACCCAAAAAGATTCAAATAGAGAGAAACGAAACACAGACCTTAAATGCAACGTAGCTCTCGGTCTTGTTAGACAATTGAAGGGAACAAGAGATCTGCTTCTTCAATTCGACTGACCAAAAACAGACAAACAGAAACAAATTAAGCACCAAAGAAACGAAAACAAAAAAACAAAAAAGATCCCTCAAAATATTACAGATCCGCAAGAAGAAAATCAGTCCCTCTAGAATCAACAACTACTCACAGACAAACTTGAGCTCGAGAGGTTCGATGCTGAGGAGTTCTCCCGTACTCATTGTTGGAAGAGTGAAGAACAAACAAAAGGGGAAAAAGACGAAATTGAAGAGGTTATAGAAAGAAAAAAGAATCTGGAAAATGAGCTTGTTGCTTGAGAGCAAGTTTCGAACAGATCGAGAAAAGAGAGGGGCAACAATGGCGAACGTGTTGCGAACAAGAGAGGGTGGAGGAAAACACGTGCCCCAAATCAAACCTTCCAACTCTCTTTATTTCCCTTTATTTAGCCAAATCGTTCATTTATTATGGGCCTTTATGCTTCTCCGGCCCATTTCCAGCTTTATTGGGCTTTATCTCCGGCCCATTTCCAGCTTTATTGGGCTTTATTTCCCACCCATTGAGCTTCTCTGGCATAATTATAATTTAATGTTGTAGAAATAGAAAATTTAAAAGATTACTTTTAAATTAAATATTTTGCACTCTGTTGTGATAAAAAATAAATAAATGAAATAGAAAATCCAAATCTTCTATATAAAATATACAAACCCAAAATTCAAATTTGGACCGAACAAACTGTCAACTAAAAATAACCGACCAAACAAACTGTCAACTAAAAAGGTTATTGCAATCCATTTACATTGCCCAACGAATCTCTATAATTATATGATATTATATACTTTTTAAGTATAAAATCTCGTGGTTACTCCAAAAAATATTATATCAACGGAGATAACGTTCTTTACTTATATACTCATGTCTAACTCTAACTATTCTCTATTTTAGCACTTGCAGTGGTTGTTAAAAATATTGTCCCTTCTGGCCAATTACGTATCGTTGTCGTCAGCCTCACGATTATAAAATGTATATGTTATGAAGAAGTTTTCACACATCTATAAGGAATGTTTGTTCTCATCTTCAATCGATGTAGAATATCACAATCCACCCTCTTTAAGGGCCAACGTCCTTGTTAGCACGTTGTTCGGTGCCTAGCTATGATATCATCTGCAACACACAAGTTCACTACTAGCAGATATTGTATGCTTTGACTTGTTATGTATCGTCGTCAAACTCACAGTTTTAAAACGCATTTACTAGAGAGGTTTCCATACCCTTATAGAAAATGTTTTATTCTCATCTCCAATTAATATGAGATCTCACACTATGTTTTACTGGAAGGAAATGTTGGTACAAAAGTGTCATCCCCACCTCTAACCCGTGACTTACTGCCAAAAATAATCCCGTCAGCTTCACTGTTTTATGTTAAGCGTGCTTGTGCCATTTTAATATCGATTGTTTAGCATTCTGTTAGGCATTTAAAGTTTGATTCTGTGAATGTTTGATTAATCCACCACACTTAAATGGTGTGAAAGTTATCTTATTTATAATCAAATAAATTACAAGGATATGGAAATAGTAATAAATGGAAATAACAATAAATGGAAAGATACTTATGATAATAAGGCAAATATTTGCCTTATAATAAAATATCAAATATATATGGTAAACTATAATTTATTACTAAATATCCTTAACACCCCACCGCAAGCTAAGCGTCGGATTTAAACGAACGTGAAGCTTGAATCTGAAAAATTCAAAGAGGTTGAGAAACACTTTTCTTGAAGAAGTCAACAACCTGGTTCAGAGGAGGCGTAGAGAAACACTTTCTTGGCCATCGAAAATTGCAGAGGAATCGCCGCTCAGCGGCAATGCTGCCTTGGCTTCGGCGAGAATATGTCTAACCCATGAAGAGGGATTGTCGCTTAGCGACGATGCTGCCTTGGCTCTGGTGAGAATATTTCTAACCCCAAGAAGTAAAAGGGGAAACCTAGAGCAAGGGACAAAGACAATGTTGAAGCCTGAAGAGTCGCCACATTGGGCGAAGGAGCCAATTTTGGCGAGAAGGGCAGTCGGAAGAGTCGCCTCATCGGGCGAAGAAGCCAATTTTGGCAGGAAGGGTTGCGGCAACTTGGTTGGCGAATAGGCCAGTGCGGCACCCAGATTCTGAAGGTAAATCTCTGCAAAAAGTTGATAGGTTTAGGTTAAGGTTTATGTGAAGGATGAAGGTTGATTGGGAAGAAAATGAGAGAGACTATATTGGCCAAGGGGAAAAACCGATTGGGTTGGAAAAGGTGAGGTTGTATGTACAGAGTATGACGAAAGGTGATTTGGAGGTCAATAGGGTGGAGCCGAAGAGTAATCAATCGACTCCGACTATGGCAGCCATGAAGACTGCCCCTGCGGCGTCAAAACCAGCAGGGGTGGTGGAGAAGAAGATTAGAGGATTCAAAAGCCATTGAAAAGAAAGGATCGGGGTTGTTAAACCGAGAGGGCTCTGATACCATGTGAATGTTTGATTAATCCACCACACCTAAATGGTGTGAAAGTTATCTTATTTATAATCAAATGAATTACAAGGATATGGAAATAGTAATAAATGGAAATAACAATAAATGGAAAGATACCTATGATAATAAGGCAAATATTAGATATTTGCCTTATAATAAAATATCAAATATATATGGTAAACTATAATTTATTACTAAATATCCTTAACACCCCACCGCAAGCTAAGCGTCGGATTTAAACGAACGTGAAGCTTGAATCTGAAAAATTCAAAGAGGTTGAGAAACACTTTTCATGAAGATGCTAACAACCCGGTTCTTGGCCATCAAAAATTGCAGAGGAATCGCCGCTCAGCGGCAATGCTGCCTTGGCTTCGGCGAGAATATGTCTAACCCATGAAGAGGGATTGTCGCTTAGCGACGATGCTGCCTTGGCTCTGGTGAGAATATTTCTAACCCCAAGAAGTAGAAGGGGAAACCTAGAGCAAGGGACAAAGACAATGTTGAAGCCTGAAGAGTCGCCACATTGGGCGAAGGAGCCAATTTTGGCGAGAAGGGCAGTCGGAAGAGTCGCCTCATCGGGCGAAGAAGCCAATTTTGGCAGGAAGGGTTGCGGCAACTTGGTTGGCGAATAGGCCAGTGCGGCACCCAGATTCTGAAGGTAAATCTCTGCAAAAAGTTGATAGGTTTAGGTTAAGGTTTATGTGAAGGATGAAGGTTGATTGGGAAGAAAATGAGAGAGACTATATTGGCCAAGGGGAAAAACCAATTGGGTTGGAAAAGGTGAGGTTGTATGTACAGAGTATGACGAAAGGTGATTTGGAGGTCAATAGGGTGGAGCCGAAGAGTAATCAATCGACTCCGACTATGGCAGCCATGAAGACTGCCCCTGCGGCGTCAAAACCAGCAGGGGTGGTGGAGAAGAAGATTAGAGGATTCAAAAGCCATTGAAAAGAAAGGATCGGGGTTGTTAAACCGAGAGGACTCTGATACCATGTGAATGTTTGATTAATCCACCACACTTAAATGGTGTGAAAGTTATCTTATTTATAATCAAATAAATTACAAGGATATGGAAATAGTAATAAATGGAAATAACAATAAATGGAAAGATACTTATGATAATAAGGCAAATATTTGCCTTATAATAAAATATCAAATATATATGGTAAACTATAATTTATTACTAAATATCCTTAACAGATTCTTTAATTCAATGATAAAGTCAATAAAGAGAATTAGCAGCTAGATAATTTCAACCGAAAATAAATAAATAAATAATAAAATCATTGTGTAACGGACTAATTTTACTTGGCCTAATCATATGATTCTCTAGCTTCCGCGGGAGAAAACGTCTCTGACTCTATCTCTCTGTAAAACAAATGACCGTTATAAAAACACCAAAACAAAAAACAAAAATAAGTCCGTTATTTATACATTTCCGATTCCTAAACATTCCCGAAATTCCCCATTTCTAAAAAATGGAATCCTTCGTCACTTCATTTTTGTTCTTCATTTCCATTTCCCCTTTCTTTCTTCTATCAACAACGCAACCAATTTTTTCACCCTCTGCCCCCGTCGCTGCCCCATACCGCCGCCACAAGTGGGTCGGACCCACTGGCCATCGGCTGATCAAAGTAGACGGTAACGGGTCCGGCGACTTCCTCACTGTCCAAGCCGCCGTCAATGCAGTCCCGGATTATAACACCGTGAGCACCGTTATCCGAATCAGCCCCGGATATTACGTGTAATGCTGCTGAAACTCAAACTAGCTCACACTCATAATTTTTTTTTTTAAACACGCTTTCATCATCTGTTAAATTATGAATAAATTCATACGCTAAAAATGCCACGTATTATTAGGGTAAGTAGAATTGTTTATTTGTGTAGGGAGAAGGTGGTGGTGGCGGCGACGAAGCCGTACATAACATTTGAAGGAGGAGGGAAAGAGAGGACGGTGATAGAATGGCACGACAGGGCAGGTGACCGAGATCCCAGTGGGCAGCAGCTGCGTACCTACAGAACAGCCTCGGTCACAGTTTTCGCTAATTACTTCTCTGCCCGAAACATCAGCTTCAGGGTAATACCCCACCAAACTTTCAAACTTTGCTGCACGTGAACTTCCTTCTTTCTCACTTTGTCATCTTGTGTTTGATATGTGGTTCACGTGACGGCCAGAATACAGCACCGGCGCCGATGCCCGGAATGCAAGGGTGGCAAGCGGCGGCGTTCCGTATATCCGGCGATAAAGCCTATTTTTCCGGCTGCGGGTTCTACGGTGCTCAAGATACGTTGTGTGATGACGCGGGCCGCCATTACTTCAAAGAATGCTACATTGAAGGCTCCATAGACTTTATCTTTGGAAATGGGCGTTCCATGTATAAGGTCATTTAATTAATTAAACCCTCCTCCAATTATTTCATTTTTAGTATATGAACTATATATCAACTTTATTCTACCTTGGTTTTTCAACTACAAAAATATAATTTCTATAGCTTTTATATTTATTTTGTTCTTCATAAATATAATTTAAATCTCTTTTAATACAAAAGAAAAAAAATCCTAAAATCGACTTAATCATTAGACGGCAAAATAATTATCTTTTTCAAATGTGAAGACCAATTTTTCTTTCTTGTAAACACAAAGCCCAAAAATAATATAATATATTTTGAACTTAAACGACGACGTTTCTTGTCTTTCTTTCGTGGTGTAGGATTGTGAGCTGCACTCCATCGCCACTCGGTTCGGTTCTATAGCGGCACAAGATAGAAACTCGCCGGACGAGAAGACCGGGTTTGCTTTCGTCCGGTGCAAGGTGACCGGTTCAGGACCCGTATACGTGGGCCGGGCCATGGGCCAGTACTCTAGAATCGTCTACGCGTATACATACTTTGATGACGTGGTGGCCCACGGGGGATGGGATGACTGGGACCACGTCAGCAACAAAAACAAGTAAAATTACTCCTTTTGTTCTTCAATTACTGGTTATTTATAGGAGATTGTGAATTTTAGAAAATTACTGTTTTAGACGGTTATTTAAGACTTATTTACTGACTGTGAGTGGAGCAGGACGGTATTTTTTGGAGCATACAAATGCTGGGGCCCAGGAGCAAGCAAAGTGAAGGGAGTATCATGGGCCAGGGAGTTGGAGTTCGAAGAGGCCCATCCATTTCTTGTGAAGAGCTTTGTGAATGGCAGGCACTGGATTGCACCCTCTGATGCTTAGGTCAAATACTATGTATACACACATTTATATTACATTCCATTCATTCAATTTGTATTGCCATAATCTTTAAACCAACATTATTTAAGGTTTATTATAATGTTTCCATTCCCTGTTTAAACGGGGATTCTCCATTCCATTCCGAACATAAATCAGTTAACAATATGAATATGAAACAAGATACAAGGTACATATCACACCAAAAGTTCTCCTGGTATGAAAACTCCATTTCAAAATAGCAGATCCATCATTATATATAGAGCATTAAAGCGCCTAACCCCGACAACCTCGTTCCTATAGAGGAGAACAAATTATTAAATTAAACCAACTCACTGTACTCCGAAGGGCACAGGCAACAGTATGATGTTGGTATCATTGACCCGAGTATGGTCAGGCATCGACAGCCTAATGATCGCAGACCACGACCAAGAAGATTCATCAACTTCACGTTTTCTTAACCAGTGAAGAGGTGGTCAACCATAAGGGCCAGCCTAAAATGGCGCTTTCATGTTTGGAAAGGTATGCATAATTTAAACTGCCAATTAACGATCTGATGTCAATGCAAGTTCATATAATGAGACTTGTTAATTTGCAATCTTTTATCTCCAGAGGGGCAGAAGAGAGAAACTTACAACTCAACATCTGGTGTGTCCAGCGTATCATTCCATTCCTCTGCCTGTTCCACAGCAGGAACAGCACCAGCTACAGCGGCCAAATCTTGTACACCATCAACCTAAAAGAAAAGAGTTCAAATAAATAGTTCCAAGATCAGAAAAGGCAATCAATTTTCTGAATAGAACAACCTTTTTTCTATAAATATATGCTCTTGATTCCTGCTCATTTTATTCTGATGAAACGTACCTGTTGAGGATACGAGGTATAACCCGAATATGCACCATAAGCATATAAAGATGGATCTTGTACGACTCCATATCCATAAGCATCATAAGCTCCACCATAGCCACCATAGTAAGCGCTCCACTGGTTTGGATCAACTTGCTGACCCCAAGTAGCCAAGTCCTAAAAATCCATCACCATTTCATCAAACTCATAGTCTACTCAATACAGAGAACTCTGGTTCACTATGAGCCTTATACAGGATATTGTGAGAACTTGCTAACAGAAAACATCCATGAACAAGGGGATTACATAAAACATGGAAAACTCGAAGTCCTTCGAAAAATAGAATTAGTCAATGATTTTGTCTGGTATATAGCTTTGTAGATGTCTCTATAGAATATCAATTACCTGCTTGATAGCCGGATTTCTACCCAAAGAAGTACGAACCACTTGCTGACCGATTACCTTTCCTTGCATCTTTTGGATGGCTTCTTCAGCTGAAGGTCTGCATGGACACAATTTGGAGAACATATTAAATCCAAATCCAAATGTTCACGGTGAAAAAAAAAAAGAAATAGATAATATATCCTGCATACACAAGAATTTTCTCTCCCACTTAAGACCATTTTTATTCAGAGCCTTCTTTCAAGGCATTGGAGCAAGGAGAGATGCAATTTACTCAACTTAAATCAATAAAATTAATCATGCCTAAGCATACCTCGAACCAAACTGTACAAAACCACAGCCTTTCCCAGCAGGAATTTTTGCATAAACAATCTCACCAAACTGCAAAAAAGTTTGCTTCAACTCCTCCTCTGTAATATTAGGATCCAAGTTACCAACAAAGATCTGCATAAAGAACAATGTAGTGAGAGACAAGCATAGAAACAAGAAAGAGTAACACTGCCCCTTCACTTACAGTTGTGTTATTTGCATCATAATCTGCAGGAAGCACAGGCACGGGTGAAGTGTAGGTAGGAACTGGGTACATTGCTGAGACAAGAGGCACATAGGTAAGTACGATTTTAGACACCAATGACATAGTTGTACAACCTATAGAATAGATCCTGTTCAAGTAAGGTTGTTGGTCGTAAGTATTGAGCTTAGAAATAGTAATTTACCATCCCCTCCTAAGATTTTCTCTTTAAGCGAAGGAAAGATAATAACAACAATGAATTCTTTCTCATTCCTAATTCAGCTAAATAACTTATTTATCCAAAAAAATCATTAAGGAATAGAATATATTTTGACATATACATTCAAAATACATAACTATTAACTTTATAAGTTTTCATCTTAAATCTAAGAACACTAATATGGATAATATCTACAAAAATTTCAGAAAAATCATTTGTACATATTGAGCTCCTAGCTTTAGGTTTACTGATGCAAAAAAAAAAAAAAAAATGATAACTTTCATTAACAGAGGTGAAATTCAAATTTTAGAGCCAAACATCTTCATAACTATGACCACTGGCACAGATATGAACCAGACTAGAAACTTGGATGAATGCTTAAAAAGCTTATACTCACTCCATATGGGTCAAGAATATTAGAAAGCGTGAGAAATGACTATATTGCCTATACCTTTACCTAGACTATATTGCTGCTGAACACCAATGGTCTTTTTGGGTGTTGCTGCACTAATACGCATAGGCCTAGTTGAGCAATAAACACCATTCATTTCTGACATAGCTCGATTCCTTTCATTTTCATCAGCAAATTTAACAAACCCATATCCCTTTGAACGTCCGGTGTTTGAATCAGTAACAACTTTAGCACCCCTAACAGATGGATACTGCACTCTAAAGGTCTCCTGCAACAGATAATCTGTAACATCAGGAGCCAAATCCCCAACAAAAATAGAGTGCTCAGGGCCAGCGTCAGGGCGCCTTTCTCCAATTCCAAAAGATGCCCAATTCAACCTGAAAGTTTGCTCAGTTCCGGGCATCTGAGAACCATTGTACGTCTGCAAAATTCTTTCTGCTGCTGCATGAGATACAAACTCCACAAACCCATAACCCTCAGGCTGTCCAGTGATCTTATTGCGAATGATTTTAATTGACATAACCTGTAAAAAAAAAAAAAAAAAAAAAAAAAAAAAAAAAAAAAAAAAAAAAAAAAA